GGACGTCTTCGTCCTTTTTTGGTTCTTTCCCCTTGATTCGTTCAAAGACACTGGGATGTGGTCTAGGATCCTCTTCTCCATCATCTACGACCAACTTGAATTTTGGCAACTTGTTTTTGAAACCAGACGTCACCATGTTCACTCCAAGTGGCTGTGGAAAAGGATTTTCATCCACTGCCATCTTCTTCTTATCGTCGAACGTAATTCGTCCTGATTCAATGACATTCTACAATACATGGCGAAAAATCAAGCAATTGTTAGTCAAATATGACCATGCATTATGACACTTACAATATTTTTTACCCTTAATTTGTTCAGGGTTTGGCAATTTGTGTTTATCGCTCAACTTTATCTGTTTATCCTTATATAATTTATCAAATATAAGGTCAACTTTGGTTACATCGAATGAGAACGTTCTAACCTTTATGTTTCCATCTTTTATGGGCTCATCTTTGCCCGATGGTTTAAACTTGGCCATTATGGGACAAGTATACATATCTCTTTTGATCAATTCGGCCAAACACATTTCGGCCTGATCGTATGACTCGTCGCTGATGGTATGAACGTCAAAATTTGGGTCTTTGTAATAAGTCCCTTTACTAGAATTTTTCATCTATTCTTCCTCTCTTATCAGTCGTTCATACCTAATCACATTTGCGCTCAACTGGAAAAGGTCAGGAAATTTCTTGTCCTGGAATTTGTTTTTTAAATCAAAGCTCAAGCAGCCCTGAGCGATTTTGACAAATTCTTTTTCAGACAGAGGTACAAAACACTTGCTTCTTGCTGTCTTGAACCTTTGGAGAAAACTTTCTGCCCATTCGTTTGGCATTTGACGTAGATTCGCCAAATCAGCCAAAGTGACTTCAGACTCAGTTTTATAAAACTAAGCGTGAAATAACTGTTCCAATTGTTGCCATATTTGAACAGAGTTCGCTGGTAAGTTGATGAACCAGGAGAAAGCTACTCCTGTTAATGAACTAGGGAAAAGCCTCATTTTATGGTAATCGGTTACATCGCCACTTTGCAATGTGAATCGCCCTATGTGTTCTAGAGTAGACACCTCTCCTAAACCGGTAAACAGTGAGAATTCTGGCACTTTGTACCCTCTAGGCCATGGATATGCTTGGTCTACCCAATCAGGATATGGCTTTGTGTAAGTCGGCCTAACGACGGGACGCACCCCAATAGCCATCTGATCTTGTACGATTTCCATAATCTGATTCATCAACATGACGTTGGGGTCATATGGAATTCCTACAGGCTGGTTAACCGGTTGATTTGCATGAGGCCTGATATTTGGTCCTTGATTGGCAACAAAATTACCATAATTAGGGTCATTACCATTAGCCTGAACATCTATTCCCTCATTAACACGTAGGGTATTCTGTCCATTGTTTAGGACATTATCTCTTATGTTTGGATTACCCCTCAAGTTAGGCGTACCACTACCATTGTTCTGATTTGGCACTGCAATACCCCCTTGGTTTGAAGTAGAGGGGCCAGAAAGTGGTTCTACCCTTTGATTCGGATTTAGGACTAAGGGATTATGTCCCACAATTGTCCTAGTTTGAAAGTGATTTGCAAGAGGTATAACTGGTTGACATATTTGGCCCACTAACTTATTCATTGTTTCGTTCAAAGTGTTTAGTTGTTTGGCCATGTTGTCATAATGTGCATTCCCATTTTGGGTAAATCTTTCCATATTATGAATATTTCGAAGATTTACCTGTTCAACGACGTCTTGTGTGAGTTCTCCAAGTAATGCATGCATAATTCGAGGACTCAACTCCGTCATTGGTTCGTAACGACTGTTACTGCTCTGATTCTGTCCATCTGTTCGTGAAGAGGCATGCTGCTCCTCATATCGCTCGATCACAAACTGGACTCCTCCCTGACTTGCTGCTTTCTTATCGGATCTCTGAGGCATATTGTTTCACCTTTTGTATTTTCAACACCAAACACCACTGTCCCACCGGGCGTGCCAAATTGTTTCGCGCGGGTTAGTCGCTAACAATTAAAAGGGATCATACGATTATGTAAGGGACAAACCTCTTGAGAGAAAGTCCCAAAAAGGGGTGTTCTTTTATTGGCGATGACTTTACAATTGGAAATTAAAACCAGAATCCAAGGGGTGCAAGCACACGAGTTACTGAAAAAAGTGTTTAAATCTAAACTAAAGAATTAAAAATTACATGTTCTCTGCTCGATAGTTTTTGATTCGATCATTTGCTCTATATCTTTTCTCCCTTTTATACTCCATGGATGATCCTTTTGTGATCAACCGTCTAAAAACTGTTTGATCATTCTACAACTGCCCACTTTCCTTGTAATGGCCAGCTTGTCATGAAAATTGCCTTTTTTAACTGCTGTCATTACTTTTCGTCGTTCAACCGTTTTCGATTGAATTCCTTGAATCGTGGAACGTGATAAGGCTGCTTTAATAACTGCTTTGATAATTGCACTTCTTGATAACCACAACACTTTATGTTTGCTAAGACCTTGAGCGACTTGAAGGTTTGGGCGAGAATAGAGTAACAACTCTGGGCGACTGCATGGCACTCCATTCGCTCAGATTCTGAGCGACTTGCAAACTTGGGCGATGGCGTTACCGCGTTCTTGGGCCTCCCTATTTGGGCCTTCATCTTGAATTGTTTGATTGGGCTTCATTCTTTGGGCTATCTGATTTGAGGATCCTCCAATTGGGCTTCATTCCTTGGGCCGTTCGATTTGGGCTGAATTTTTATGTGTCAACAGTGGTAAATCTCATAATGGAACAAACCTTTGTGTGATGCCTGTTCTTGAAATGATCTATCGACATCAATTTGATGGCGGACTCATGGTTACCTATATCATCTAACAACTCCTACGAATGACAACGGGACGGGTTGGAGTCGGGACAACCTTCCCAACCCTTTGCCCACCGAGTAATTTCCTACCCCATACTCACCTCGTTACCCGTTCTAAAGCAGGGCCTTGCCCCGTTTAATACCCTTTTATTCATTTATTCATTCATTTAATTTTTGATAGTTCATTTTATTCTCACATTCATCAAAGTGACACAATAATATAGTTATTAAAATTTTTTAATTAACTAATTTATTTTTAAAAGTTAAATTATTCAAATATATTTAACAAACTAAGATTTTTATTGTTTATCATATTCATTAGATAATAGAAGTTGCCACATTCTATTAGAATTAATGAAATTTTGTGAAGTTTTTCATTTAAAATATTGAATTATGAAAAAAAGTTTAACGAGGCAGGGGCAGGGCGGGGCCCTTGTCATCGTACCTACTCGAGGCAAAATCTCCCATCGCATCGCCGATTTGAATACCCAATTAAGCAGGTAATCCCTACCCTGTTAGTGTTCGGGGCTAGGCCCCGCGGATATCGGGGTTTGAGAATTTTTTTTTCCATTCTTAACAACCCCTTAGGAGGGATTTGTTGCTGTGTTCATGTATTGCCTTGTAGGCTAGAAGCTGAACCCCGTGATGATTGAATATTGTCTATGGGTGTTTGTATTCTCTTTAATCCTCTGCATGAGCTAGAATATGTGTTGCCAAAACTGAAATAAACTTTAGCCCAAAATGGAACAATATCAGTTATGATAGAGGTCATTGAAAGTACTACAATTGAAGTAGTGGGGAACATATGAGGAACACTGGAAGTTGGTACACATTGCTTAGACGGCTCAACAACAACAACCTTTCCTTTACCCTTTCTGCCCTTACTAGCAGTAGTCTCAATAAGAATAATAGGATATGGGGGGAGGGTCGACAATAATTGCAAGGGAGATGGAGGTAAGCCACATACATACTGATCAATCAAGCGGCCTAAATGTCTACAAAGTAAACAAAAAAATGGGGCTTTTCTCATTCACAACTGCCTACCAAAATCGTGATCCCCAATGTGCTCAATCCAAAGCTCCAAATCCACCTCAATACACCTTTAGCCTCAATAGGTTTTCTCGAGTTTGAGGTGACCTCATCAATCCTTAAAGAAATCCCTTAGACAGCGCAAACAAGAAACCTTTGTCATGTATATAAACTGATAATAAGGGGAAGCCACAAAGAAGTAATTGCAATCTCGTACTTAGGTTGAAAGTCACATGTCTACTTCAAGACCTTCATAGGATGCCCATCAATATACCACGAGGACTTAAGGAATAGCCTACTATAATCATCCTCGCACGTAAGGATTTAAGTGTTAAATGTAGGAAGAGGCCCGTCTTGCATGTGGGGGCACTTGAGATTGAATTTAGGAGATGGTTGGGGCGGGTTTCACTGAGGTGCACTCATTGCTTATGTGATAGCATCCTTGATGGGGGCAATCGGACATCTCATGAATAGAATATGAATTGAATAAGTTCAATAAGCTAGCAAACTCAACCAATCCACTCACCATAGTTCGCAATACATCTATGGGTCTTCCATCAGCAAAAGAGAAACGCAAAGAGAGAAATTGGGCAAGAGGGCGAGGATGGTCGACTTTGACTATTTGTGAATGGAAGTCAGTCAAGCCCGATCAATGCAGGCAAGCAGTTTGCTTGCTTACCATCAAGTACTGGTCGCCTACATGCCAAGCTCGACCAATGCTTGTCGGGGCCTTGTGGCTGGACCCTCAAGTTGTACGGTGGTGAGGTGGCCAATTCATGGAAGGGTCGTGACAGTCCTCCGTGAGCTATCCTAACCCTCCAGCCCATGTTCGAATCGGTCTAACACATTTAACCCATCAAGTACTATCACATCTCCAGTGATAAGCCCCATTCGTTTGGCCCTCATTCTCTTTTTCATTCTTTTTCTCTCTCTAATTTTCAACCACACAATTTTCTATAAAATAATATTCACGAAAATAAAAAAAATTTCGTTCTTTATCAATCACACATTTTAAAAAAAATACTATTTCAATCATTAAAATTTAAAAAAAATAAGGGCCAAAGAAGGGCTAAATATACTCAAACTAAATTCCACAGGGCCTCCGTCAACACTATTAATGCCATTGACAGTGTTTCCGGCCACGTTTCTGTTTCTTTCTATTTTGCTTGCACACCTGCAAATAATTTACTCTTTTCGTTCATTAGTCAATTTATACATCAAAGGATTGTTTCCTTTCAATTACCTGACACCCATAAAACAGGGGCCCCATTCAACTTTTTTCAACTTCTTTCGTTTGTATCTGCCCGAGGATCGCCCCCCTGTATCTCCTCGCCTCAACGGCTTTAATTTGAATTGAGATCTCCCTTTCTCTTTGTTTCTCGATTTCATAAATTTATTTATTTATTAATTCTCAATTTGTATTTCACCCTTCTGTACCAGACAAAAATATACCCAAGACGTGTATTTCCTCTCTGTTTATTCAGAGGAAGCATATCTCTCTCTCCCTACAAATCTTGATTGGCTTTGGAATCTAGGAAGAGGGAGACAATCAAAATTTTATTGGGTTTCCGTGTTCGTTTTGCTTATTCCCTTTGGTTGCTTCACTATTAAACCTGGTGATCTATAATATTTTATTATTATTTGCTTCTTATCTCTCTGTTTTATTATTTGTTCGATAAATGGAGTTGGGAGTTGGATTGAGCGGAAACAAATTTCATTTTTTATCAACTTTGTGATTTTTTCTTCACTTTTGAATTTTCTTTAGGCTATTTTTTCTTAAATTTCTTGTGTATGTTATTTTTATCACTGAGTGCCCTGTTCCCATAGTTTGATCAGCGCGATCAAATTGATAATCTTGTGCTATACGCATTAATGGGAAAAAAATATATCTATGGAAAGATTAAGACTTGTTTGTGCTGGAATGATAGATGAATATAAAAGTGTCGAATAAACAAATCTTGGTTAAAAAGGGGAAAAAAAGTTTATATGCTATTTCAGGAATTGTGAACCTTAGATTTACGACACCTCTGACTGAGAGTCACAAACAATGTAGATTACTGCTCTCATTTGAGTTGATGTTATTTTTCCCGTCAGTTGGAGCAGTATAACCTACCTAATAAACACAGTGAGGTCGTGAGGATAGAAGAGTGGCAGCTTAGAACAGGTCATATATTTTCTTGTGTATGTTGAATACAATTATAAATTTTGCTGGTCTCTATGAGACTAGAAGTCTTTGTTTCTGAAATCTCTGTTCGGATTGGACTGTATATTATAGCCTGATGCAATAAATCAGTTCTCGTCCCAAATTGCATCTATGGTGAGGCGTTGGAAGATGCAGTCACAAATTTGGCTTCGTTTTTTAGGGGGCGGGGGCAGGATTTAGGTTGTCATTGGAATATTTAATGCTTGTGCATCCTTAGTGAGTGAGTGCAGGTCCGGGTTTGGAAAGGGAGGAGTCATGCTATTGAATGTTTATATTTAGCAGCTTTTCAAATTCGAATTTAAGAACTAACCACCACTTTTAAGATTTATGTTTGTACTGCATTTTGATATCTACTTCTCAATGAAATGCAACCGGAAAGGACCATATGGCAATATTTAGCAGCTTTAAGTTTGAATTTTGAGCTCCCACCGCCATTAGCGGCTTCAATTTAAGAACATTTGAAAATTTATAAACTTTGAGTTTGATAACGCCAATATGCTAGGAGTACATTTTGATATCTAGGATTGACTTTTCATCACTAATAACAAATTTAGAAGACTTCCGAGGAGAAAGATGAAATTTTTCTCCGGTGAACTAATTGTTATTTGGTTCCTGGTTTGTTAAGCATGAAATGCTTTTATAGCTGAGAAAATATTCGTCTTTATATGTTGACTTTCCTTTCTTGGTAATTGAAAGTTGCGATGGTATTATTGCTATTTTCCTTCAAAATTAAGATGGGGGTGGAATATTTGGCATCCTGGAAAGTAGGATTCTTAATGTCTGAAATCTGGGACCCAGTAGCATCAGCAGTGATCCCTAGTACCAATTGCAATACGCAGAATGTACTTAGACTCGAAACATAAGAACTAAGCATTCTTTGTATTTTCTTTTCTGCTTAATTCTCTTGCAAGATTTTGTTTGTGTGAAACAATTTATGAAATTGTTCTTGTGGTCTGATATATGGGGATGATTAATTTTCTCTATTTAATAATAGGTACACACTTGCACATGCTGTCAATGGCAACTGGGAATTCCTATATTGATGACTTGCGAAGTAAACCTGAGGTCATTGACCTCCCTGAAAATGAACAGATTATAGATGTTGGAGAACATGTAAGCGACACTGCTCAAAGTCCCCTAAAACCTAATGTAACCGTCTCAAGTAGCGTACGTGATCTACTGGAATGTCCAGTTTGCTTGAATGCTATGTACCCCCCTATTTATCAGGTACAACAATACTATCTCGAGTGGCCTTCAATTGGCACATGAAAGCTTTTGATGCCTCTATATGCCATGATCAGCGATGTGATGTCTTTATCCTTTGTTTCCCCCACACCAAATAGAACTTACCTTTATATGCATGTAGATGTAAATTAATACTGATTATTTGAAGACAGCCTATGTGAGAAGTTCAGCATTTTCACAGGTTCTGTTTTAATTGGGAAAAGCACTTTTAAGCTGCCCCATGTTTTATTTTTTTATTTTTTTATTTTTACATTTATTTTATTTTTTCAATTGGGAAAAGCACTTTTAAGCTGCCCCATGTGACATTTGTATCCTACGCCAAACTTTTGCTATTTATATATGTCCCTACCCATATTTAAAGCGATGTGTGTGTCATTTGTAAAAATATGCAAAATTTTCTCTCATTCATTCTTGTAAATTTTTTTTTTGAGGAGAGCAAAAGAATCCTTTGGAATTAATTGTACTAAAAATCTTTAATATGGTACTGGGATAATATTTCCCAGTTTTATCTATTTGTGTTAGGAATTTTCTTCCCACAATTTCCCTGTTTCCATTTGTTATTGCATCCTAGTTTGCATCAGAATATTTATACAGCAAAATTCAATTGTTGGGTTTTGCTTGGTGTATACTTCTGAATTTGTCTCATTTAGGATTGACCTGATAGTGGCTAGATTTAATACCATATTTTCTCTTTTACGCATTCCTATTTCACTTCAAATTCAATTGTTTGATGAAAGTCTTAGCAATATTTATGATGCATTCCCAGATAAAGAACAAGAAAAATATTTGTATCCACCTGGTTTCATCTTGAGTATGAATGAGCATTTTTTTTTTTGCATAATTTGAAATTTTCATTTTAATTAATTTTTACCATCCTATTTCACGTACTGTTGAATTTTTTACATTGCTGTCCATAGTTGTTTCCTCTTAACCCTTTTCTTCTTTTTTTTTTTTTTTTTGGGTTGCTTCAGTGTTCCAATGGTCATACATTATGCTCTGGTTGCAAACCTAGGGTGCACAACCGATGCCCAACTTGCAGGCATGAACTTGGTAATATCAGATGTCTTGCATTGGAGAAGGTAGCTGCATCCTTTGAGCTCCCATGTAAATATCAGAGTTTTGGATGTATGGGCATCTACCCTTACTACAACAAGCTTAAACATGAATCTCAGTGCATTTTTAGACCTTATAATTGTCCTTATGCGGGGTCAGAGTGCTCAGTCATTGGTGATGTTCCATATCTCGTGAGCCATTTGAAAGATGATCACAAAGTTGATATGCACAATGGCAGTACATTCAACCATCGCTATGTCAAATCAAATCCCCGTGAGGTGGAGAATGCCACCTGGATGCTTACGGTAAATTCTCCTTGCGGTTGCAACTTTCATTACTTTCCTATGCATTTCTCAAGCATTGAGACAATGTTCCATGATGTTGCTATAGAATGTTCAGTTATCATCATGTAATGTAAGTATTAGAGTTCAGTAGGACAATAGTTTTGATTTATGATACTGTTGTTGGAAGATTCTTATTCCCATTATTGTTGGTCCAATTTGAAAAGTGATGGATTGTTGTCGGAATGGATTGTATGGGAAATCTGCAATATCCTTTTTCATTTTTCCATTTTCTATGGGGTGGTGGACGTTCTAAGGATTACTTTCCGAATCTAATTACTTTCATTTCACACGTGCTTTAGTAATTCATCTGTCCTGAATGGTTGGGCAAAACTCCTGGAGAGTGTCCCTTAGGTTTGAGCTAATTATGAAATCAGATTTGACATTCATCTTATCAGGAAAAGCTGAACACCCGAGTCTGACTTTGGTGAAATTTGGTGACCTGACTGGTTTTGGGAAACCATGGCTGGTTGTGTTAAAAAGGAATTTATCATCCTGTTCTTAAACATCAGACTTACTTGATATTAGAATGATGCCAAAACCCTACCAGGTTACGGAACTAATTTTTATTTTAAATTTAGCGTTTATCTATTCCAATTACAACTTGCAGTTCTAGAACTTTTAGTGATCGTTGATTTTTCTAGAAAACATTTATCTATTGGTTGTCAAATCAGCGAGTCCAGCAGTTAAATAGGTGACAATTGATTTGGTCCCTAAGCCAGCGCGGGAACTATGTCCATGTTATTTGTAAAATTCTCATGTTATCTGCTTTGCCTATTGCTGAATTTAAATCCATGGTTTTTGCCATGCTAAACAGTGGTATATGCATGCAGCATTCCTATATATTGCTTTTGGAAGTAGTTCAGTTCCCTTTTTTTTGCTTGTCTTTTAGGTATTCAGTTGCTTTGGGCAGTATTTCTGTCTGCATTTTGAAGCATTTCAGCTCGGAATGGCGCCAGTTTACATAGCGTTCTTACGGTTCATGGGCGATGAAAACGAGGCAAAAAACTATGGCTATACCCTCGAGGTTGGGGGTAACGGGAGGAAGATGATATGGCAAGGAGTGCCTAGAAGTATAAGGGATAGCCACCGAAAGGTACGCGATAGTTTTGATGGCCTCATCATTCAACGTAACATGGCTCTCTTTTTCTCTGGTGGAGACCGGAAAGAATTGAAGCTCAGAGTTACTGGTCGGATTTGGAAAGAGCAAGTTGTTCCTTTGAACAAATGAATTTTTTTTTGGATATCTAGCAGGCAAACGCTCTTTGCTTGTCTATGCACCAAATATTTGAGTTGACGAGCCCAAATTAGCACTATATACACTAGGACATTAACCAGTGATAGTGTCTTTATGGTCTGTACTGTATCACTGGATGCAATAACCTGCCATTGTAATGGAGGACTGAGAAGCATGAACTATATAAGATATTCACTTATTAGTGTTTTTGTGGGTTTTATGAACTTCTAGTATATGTTTAGTATGGAGTATATACAAGATTTGATAATGATGTTTCAAAAGCGTAATCCCTTGACAAGGAGGCCATTTTGCTAAAAAGATTATCGAACAAAATCTTTTTGGAGGTTTACAAATCTTGTTATCGTTGAAAATTTAGTTGCGGATAAATTTTCCCAAAAGTCAACTTTGCTGCGTTTTTCTCATAATTTCCGACAATGTGGCCCCCACAGATTCAGAAAATGAAATTGGCCGAAAGTTCATTTTGAATGGGTTCAAACATATGCTAAAATTAGATATTTTTTAGTAGATTGTGATAGAAATTTTTGAAATGTGTTGTTGAAAAGTTGTGGGACCCATAAAAAATGCAGTTAATATTGATTGTTTGATTTTGATTTAAATTAAAATCAGATTTTAATTCGTACCAAACGAACTCTAAATTCATTAAGCTTGGCTCAAGATCGATTTTATTTTAAAATGGAAATTATACAAGTTGACTCATGAAATACTTAACTTTATATTTTTCTTTCCTTACTTTTATTGGAATGTTTCTTTATTCTCTCACATGTTTCCTATAATCCTAAACTAAGGCCCCATTTGAGTCGTATTATTTGGAAAAAATAATTTTTAAACAATAATTCGACATTATTTTAATCATACATTTTTAATAGAATAATATTATACACAAATTCAAAATTTTTTCTTATTTTTTAATCACAAATTCTCTATTAATCTTTTATTTTAAAATAAACGCTTTCAAACTAATATGACTCAAACCCACGCTAAAACAAACCGATCATAGGATGAAAGTAAATTGAAAGAAAGAGAAACTCTTAAAATTATATTTTCAATTGACGATACTTGTAAGATGACTGGACAACACGTGATTCAACGGGACTCCATGTAGTTATCAACTAATGATATGATGACACGTTCACGATGATATGGCACTCCGTATGATGACTGGTCGCCACGTAGGCCATTTGCTGACATTTGTACGAGGGTAAATGATTATTGGACACCACATGGCGCATGAGAGGTGAGGTTGTGTGAAAAGCACGGAAAGCACAGGAGGCGGCCAAAAATTAAGGTATTTATTTTATAATTTGGCTATTTTATATTGCCCCCACAAATTATAGAAAAACAATAATTAATAAATGAAGAAAGAAACAATGAAACAAAGAAAAAATAAAATCATCCTGGAATTGCCAGAATACAAACCCAAATATTTCATGAATTCTGATTATTCACGTTCGAATTTTTTTTGGTCTGTTTTCATTCCCAAAATAATCACTTCTTTATATATACGTAAGTTTTTTCCCATGTAAAAAAAAATAAAAATTGAATATATTATTGTCAAGTTTGGCGTTATTATATCCATGCAACTACCTATTTTCAACGCGTTTGCATGTTTTCAAAGATTTAAATTTCAATTCACTGTGACCCACCCCCTATTTGCAAGAATCTCTGTCTTTTTTTTTTTTTTATAGTTAGTTATTGTCACTTTTATAAATTTTTGCCACTTCCAACTTATAGGTTGTTGTTTTTTAAATGTGAAATTATGCTATATGTTTAACTAATACAAGTGAAGCATAATCACAAATAGACAACATGCTAAAGAGAATTAACCATTCATAAATCTATTCTAGCTTTTGTTATCTTTTTCAGTTTTCGTCACCCTTTTTCATAAAAAATATTTTACATTTTAGTGATTAACTTCCAAATCCAAGTTCATATGCTAGTTAATAAAAATGAAATATAAAAAAAAAGAGACAACATGCAAAAGAAAATCAACCATCAATGGGATCTTTTGTAAGATTTTGATTGATGTTAAATATTATGTCACTTTTTGGAGTATTTGTCTCTTTTTTAAGTGTTTGCCACTTTTTGAGTTTTTGTTTTTTATTTTTTATTTTTATCACTTTATTGAATTGATTTTAAGGTTTTGATTGGTGTTTTGTCATTTTTTTGATTTTTTATCACTTTTTTAAATATTTTACTTTTTTTTAATTTTCGTCATTTTTTTGAGTGTTTGTCACTTTATTTGATTTTCTGTCACTTTTTTTAAAATTTCTATTACTTCTTTATTGTTTATAACTTTTTTGAATTTCTATTATTTTTTTAATAACAAATATCATTTTTTATATACTAAAAAAAGACATTGTATGTCACTTTTTAATAAAAATATGACATTTAACTTTAAAAACTAACATTGTTTAATAAAAAGTGCTACTTACTTTGTTTGGCCCCCATTAATTTTTATTCCACTACATTTCATTTTTCTCTATCTTATTTTCAACCACACAATCTTCTATAAAATAATATTATACGTAAATTGAAAATTTTTCCTTGTTTTTCAACAACTCATTTTTTAAAAACATACTATTCCACCCATTTTCATTTCCACAAAATGGGGGCCAAACGGACTTTACACAGTATTTTTTATTTTTAAAACACTTTTTATATGATTTTTCAAAATATTCCTAATTTTTGAAGTATTTTTGTAAGTTGCCCATGTCAAATTATCTCCAAAAGGCATCCATGTCTTTTGGTAATATTTTATTTGATTAAAACAAATCAATTTGATAAAGATAGCTTTATAGCTTTTATAGGGATCAATGCTCATGTATTGATGTGGAAATATTTATAAGTAAAATTAAGTTCATGTTTGAGTCTCATTTTTTTGATATAAAGGTAGTTGACGTTTTTTATTGATGTTTTGTTGATGAATTGAGTTAAAGATGTTTGGCGGTGAATGGACAAAGTGGATGAACGGTAGTTGTGCTACATTTTTTTTTTTTTTTT